ATTTAAAGCTGTGTCTATGTCCAAATTGCTGAATCTTTCTGAATCTCTCCAGATCGATTTGGAAGGTTCAGATTCAATTTGGAGAGATTAATGGGTCTCTTGATTCAATTAGGATTTGGAGATTCAGCCACTGAATCAGATCAAATATCCACCAAATTGAATCAGGGACCAAAGCTTTGCACAGCCTGATGTGAGCATGAGCCTTGGTTCCATGCCAAAGACCATCTCCACTTGAGATGGGCAACTGGTCACTCGGGCTGAGGAGTCAAAGATAGCCGGACATGATACTGGCCACTTCACTCCCCTTGTGTGGCACTGGCTATAAAAACTGTTGTGCTTTAATCATGCAAGGCCAAAGGGCTGTGAAGGCTGGATGGACCTTTTATCTTTTTATTTTTAATCTACTCTAAGCATCTCAATCATCTTATATTACTTTTCTTTACCCAGCAAGAATTTGTACACACAAAATGTCCAGGGTCACAGTACAACTAAAAAAAAAATCCCTGGCATAGTTTTATATGACATTTATAACATTTAAACTGTTATAATTTATAACACATATATGTGTGACATTTACTGTCTTCCAAATCACACAGTGTTTTTGGTATGTGTCTCTTCTTCTTTGATTATACATGTTGGGGCCTTTCTGAGACACATTACTTCGCTTATTGGCTCCTATGCTTAGGTGCAAGAGCCCCTTTAACAGGGGACACAGCATACATTTACAGCTGTTGGGAGGGTCAATATGTGACCAGAAATGTGTCTTGCAGGTGGTTGATTTGTACTAGAGGTCTTATTATGGAAAAGTTAGGAAATCTTGTGTTGGTTAGATGGGTGATTCCACTAGGAGGTGGTAGTGGGTGAAGGTTTTAATGGTGTTTTGAAACTAGCCTTTGGCATCACATCTAACTTTGATAAAAAAGAGCAAAGTGAAAGCTATCAGATGTATGTGAAATGTGCTATAAAACATGTGCTCTAAAACCAAGGTAATATAACTTTCAGACTAATTTGATTGCTAGTGCAGATGCATGGCAGCCAGCACTCTATGGCTGATACATTAGTACTGAATGAAACAAGTCTGGTTTATTCTATCTTTAGTAAACAGAGCACGAGGTTGACTGTAAATGGTCTGTTTAGCAGAATAGATTGAACATATGAAAAATTATTCACTATTTGAACACTTAAAACCCACACATGTCATTTATATCATTCAGGCACTCAACATAAAAGGTTTATTGTTTTTGGCAAAATAAGCTACAAACATCCTTAATTGGGATGCAAATTTAATGCACAGTTTAACACTGTTGACAGCTAAAAGGCTCATATGGACATTTCAATACATTTTTCCACTTACATTACAGATGGTAAGGAGCAGATATATAGTCAAGAGCCAAAACTATTTAAAAAGTGTAACATTTTTATTTGACAATTTTATATGCTTGTCAATATTTTAGGACTGACTTTGAGTTTTCCTTCTCTTGAGAAGTGTGTGAAATGAGGAAATTCGTTTTTGTAATGAAATCAAGTATGTGAAGATACTTGAACAGTCTAATCCTTTTAGCTCTAACTGTAAACTATTTTTTCTATCAAGTCCAAGTTAGAGATTTGTAATTGTTAGTTTCTCTTGCTTTCCCATTTAAGAAAATGAATTAGATTACAGATAATAAAGAATTATTGAATATTTTTGTTCTCCAATCACTGAAGTAGATCTTAGAGTTTAAGACAATGTGAAATGTCTTTCTGGCTTGCACCAGATATGTTAGGCCTCATCTATTTCCATTAAGATATGTGGAAAGATTCTCATTAACTCTAAAGACAGTTGGATTAAGCCTGTTGTGGTCCAGCTTCGTGCAAACTTCTCTATCATTTGCAGTTAACACAATCTAATCCTAACTGTCTACATCTTTGATAAAACAATGTGGCATCATGTACATTTGGAACATCTGAGTAGAATTAAATTAATTTCCCTTTTATTTTGCTGATTATTTTAAATCAGGGCTGACCAGTTCACTGGATCATATAAACTCTATGATAACTCCTCTCACTCCCCTTAAGTATGTCTCTGAATTTGGTCTCATAATGGATCAAGTGATTACTAAGAATTTATTTTTGTGTAAAAGGTAGGTAAGTCTTGGTTATGCCAAATCCCATCACAATCTCTTGACTCCCATGCCCAAACAGTTCATTATTTCTTCCAAAAAAATCTCCTTTTTATATTTAGAAATGTATAGTGTTGTGCCTCGGTAACCGGTGTACCCTTGACCTGTGAGCCTGGGTCGGCACGACCGGCTTGGCACAGAAGGGATAGATGACCGGACAGGTGGGGATTAGCGGTGAGTAGGAGTCAGGTGGCTTGAAGTGTATTGGTTATATGAAAGGTTTATTGTACTTACGCTACCGATGGTCGCAGCGTAGGCAGGATAGCTGACTTGTTCAGTTACAGTGCATAAAACAGAACAAACTAAAGGGGTCTGCTGGTTCATGGGGTTCCTGAGCCGAGCCTTTGCTTTCTAACCTGGAGGCTAGGTGCGGCTGCCAAACTCAATAGTCCCAGAACTGGTCAACAGCTCATGCACAGGGAAAATGCACTTTCAATCAGTAAACTTCCGAGAGCTCTTTGACGAGAAGGACAGACGAACCGGTGAGAAACGAATACGCCAAAATGAAGGTCGGTGGCGGGGAGATGTCTGCAGGTGGCCAATCTGCTGACTGTGTCTCCTTGGTGTGCTTGGAGTTCTCCGGCTTTTGGCGGGAGTCTGCTCTTAGTTATAGTCAGCAGTGACCAATCACTACATGCCAATTGTGAATATTTACTGACCGCCAATTATGTTCTTACACTAGCGACCTAGATATATATTCATCTGACCTAAATACATTATTCATCTGACCTACTTTACTGCCCTCAGCGGGTTCAAAAGGTCAGACATGTGTTGTGCACTTACAATCCTTATCATTGCAGTCAACAAGCCTCTAAAACATGGAGAACAAAACTTTTAACAATCTCCTACTGCAATACATCTCTCAGCAAAGAAATAAAGGCTACTAGTGCTGAGGGGTTTGTATGGCCGGCGTCCTTACTAAGTTATTATAGTCTTTTGCTTTGCTTTGCTGGCATTGGCACTCTAAGTGACAGGTTGAATTCAGACATGACATATAGCACTATATAATTACATAAACTCATGAACAGTATCATGAAAAATATATATCTAAATATCCACTAGCCACATAGCGTTTCTCATCTTTTTTCATCTAATCTAAATAGGTTTAGTTTTAATCTAAATGCTAATGTATGCATGTGCTTTGAGCTTTCAGAACACATTTTGAATGTGTACTATCAGAAACTAAAAAAAACTAAAAGGAACTTGTAGAAACTTGGATATTAGCTGCTATTGAACTGTTTGATTTATGGTAAGAATTTGCAAATAAGTAACTGGAGATTTTCTTCATTTATATTCCTATTGCCAACAAAATTATGAGGATACTTCAAATACAGAAAGGGGATCAACAAGAGCCACTTCCATGTAGTGATCTCTGGCAACGTCTCTGATGGCCAAGAGCTCCTGAATTGACAAACATGCCAAAGCGCACAAAGATAAAGATACAGACCCCATTTTGTCATATGAAAGAAGAAAGTACAGAAAGAAGAAGGCATTGCTTCATCTGGGAATAAAAACTGATACCTTTTGATGTAAATTACAGCTTCTTGTATGAATATCACCAGGTATTACACCTATGATAGTTTAAGCTGTCATTGTTGTAGCATTACATTAGTTGTCTTTGTATAGTACTGGGACCATTAATAAACCATTACTCATTGCTTGTACAATTCTTTAGGAAGTTCCTGGAACTCTTATTCTTTCACTAGCACATTTTCTTTTTGTTGCATCATCAGAAGCCTTCAAGGCTGCTTAAAGAAAATTGTTTTATGTGCAGTTCCAACTACAAAGAACTCTTTAACTTAGCTGTCATGGTGAAATTTGCCCATGGTACATACTCTATAAAAATCTATCCACAACATTAGTTCTATTTAAGCACTGTTTCTGAAACTAGACTTCTGCAGACAAATAAATATACTGCTTTGTCCATGGGCACTAAGTTAAACTTTCTCTTAAATGAACAGACACAGCGTACAGCCAACATACCCAATCTTCTGCAGTTTGTGCAATCTTCTGCACAAACCTGAAACCCCTACCATGTAAATCTATAGGAAAATATGTTCTAGAAAGTATAATTTTACCCTACTGAGCCATTTTGCTATTTGTAGCACTATTGGCTGCTATGGGAAAATGCTAAGGTCAAGATTTTCAAATGTAAGTGCCTAAAATGCATGTAATGTAAATGTAATTTATGTCAATTTCCAGATTCTTGACTCTTCCAGAATGGTGTGGAGGGAACTGACTGAAAAGGAAAATTCAAGCCACATGTATATTTTACAGCAGGGATGTCAAACATAAACCTGCGGAGTTATGGCATCTGGTCCATGAGGTTTCCATAGGGAGCCAGGAATTTGGGGGCAAGGCTCACTGCTGAAAATGAGGATCTGGAGGCCCATGGGGCCATGTTGGTGGTGGGGGAGGCCAATAACAACTGTGTTAATCCCTGTGGCTCTCTGACAGCACTCCATACCCCCCTCCGCCACTGCCAGAGATGGGTGGGGATCCAGCCTACAAGGACCCTGACACCCAGATAAGGCCAAGGGGTCAAACCAGTTTGAAATCTTCGCTTTACAGCAATATTTATCACTCACTTTGTTAAAAAGTGAGAACTGTAAATACTTGTTTTGCTATGAAAAATCTTAACTGAAGTTTAAACCAAATCTAAATTTTAATCTAAATGTAAAATCTGAAAATCTAAAATATGGTAGAACTTCCAAAAATAGAGAACTGTATTAATAAGTGTTTAAAAAAAGACCACAGATTTACACAGGAAGGTACAGAATCAATTAAATTGTCACATGCATTAGCTCTATTTTTGTCTATTATACCCTATAAAGCACTTACCTTATTGACTGGAATAATGTTTTTCACATTGAAGTAGAATCCAAAGTAAACCATATTAAAAACCCCATGACGGCCCAGGGTTGCAGTGAGACCTCGGTTGAGTCCTTGGAATCCCAAACCATTAGTTTTAATAATTTGCCGAGCTTGTGAAAAGGTAGATGGTTGCTGTACAAGTTAAACAAAAGCAGAATGAGGCCATTGTTATAAATGGTAAGTGTAGCAAAAAGTCTTCATAGTCTTGTTTCAAACTGGTTGATTATCACAGTGTTGCCGACTCACATGATTTGAATTGTTTCTCCTGCAACATTTGGTATATTTTTATCATATAGCCCCAGATCCTAGAATCTTGTGATTATGCGAAAATCACAATTTTCATTTAAAAAAAAAAAGTTTCAAGCCTTTATTGTTGCAGAGAAAGCCTTGAAATGGGTAACCCGAAAGAACTTAGACCAAAAGGTGAAGAAAAGAATCCTCAAACAATGTTTTAAAATATAATAAGTTTTAAACACATCTCATAATATTTTATAGCTGAACTCATGTTTTTTAATATGTCAGGTTAGCGTTACCACAAACAACAAAGAGGCTATGCTGCCAATATTGCAAGAGATGAAACATCCACACAGACTATATCACAATTAATCTATGTAGTAAAAAGATGAAAACAGCTTTTGTATACAGAGACAAATTCTCAGCACGTTCTAAGGCATCCTGCACCTGTCCTAAAACTCTATCTGAGAATTTCCTTTGCACAGGAGTATGTTCAGCTGACAGTGTCCTCCTTGCTCTAGGACACCAGGTATTGAGGACACCCCTAGCTGACGAAGGACGGGACCAGAGCATGATGTTTTGGCAATTCTGGAGAGTGAAGCAGCTCCTTTGGAGCCATTACTTGCTGGCATGTAGCCACATGGCTATTCTAACCTTCACTAAGGATAAGTTCATTCCCTGAGAGCCTCCAGATTTAGTGTTGGGGATGAAGTAAAAAAATGACAGGAAACCATATATGTGTCTTTCCAGGTGTGCTGAATAGTGTTTTGGTGCACGTGTGGTTCCTGCTCATAGTGTCAAAGTATAGTATAGTATATAGTATTGTGTCACTGTTATATATGTTTACACAAGAGATTTTTAGTGGAAACTACTGGATGCTCAGCACTTTTGAAACCTGAATCATACAGTCAGATTTCTTGTTCTGGATTCAGGAGTCTAACTTTAGGCAGACAATTATGAAAATCTCAGTCTATATTACTGTATTATAAACACATTGAAAATATAGCTAAAATTACTCAACATTTTCCTAATTAAATATCCTAGCATAATCATATTTTGCTCTCTAATGAAATATTTTACTTCAATGAGAGATTCTGGGTTTTGAAAATAAGGACATTCATTTAAATCCTTCAGTGTAGATTTAAGAACCCTTCTTTGAATCCATTTTGAAAATCTTGACTATAAAGAATAAAAACCCTATCACTTCAGAGAATAAGCCAAACAATAACTTAAACATTTCCCGATGGGCAAGGTATCACAGTAATGCCCATTCTAAAGATTCTACACTTTCCTCTAAAGTATGCAGTACTAGTCACTATCAGTACACCATGTACATCAGGGCAAATACTGTGTTCCTAAATGTATTGTGCCAGATTTTACACATTTACACAGGTCACCTTTCACATTTTAACTCTTTTATTTTTTCACCATAAGAAGAAAAAAGCGCATTTAAAAATGTTTGCTAACCTGTGTTTGGATTTCTCTAAACCATAATGCCACCTTTGCGTAACCAAATATTTAATTAGAAAGGCAAAACAAGACTTCCACTAGGATGCTTAAACAGGAAAACGTAGAATGATTTTGACTAGAACTTTGTCAACACTGCTAATTTCAATATACTTATTTGTTTAATGGGCTTCCATTTCAAATTCTCACCCTGGCAGATCAACAGTACCAGCCAAATGATCCCAATTATATCCGACACAACATATGACTGCTTATTTAGTTGACAGCAGGTTTAATTTTCTTTAATACTTTGTTTCACTCTGCTTTTCATATTTAGCAACTAATATTGACCTGCTAATGTTTTGCTATCTATCCCTACCTGTAGAAGTAAGAACCAAACAAGCCCTGTTTTATTATAATTTCCTTCTAGCTACTCAGAGATTCAAAGCTGTATGCTATAGTTCAGTATCTATCTTGAATGTACACAGACAGCAATATCCTTATTCTTGAAAAAAGTTAAGATGGGATCTTTAAGGATAATGTGTGGTCATGAACTCAGTTTCAAGTTTCAGCTCAAAGGTAAAAGCTTTGAGAGTACAGTGCCCACTGCCATATTACTGAAGAATTGATGCACTGTGACTCAGAGGGGGAGGAATGCCAGCTGGTGAACACCTAATGCCAGCTTCAGCAGTAGGTGAGTTTTCCTTGGCATAACAAAAGGCTGGTGCTAGGTTCAAAATCTCAAAAAATCACAGCTCAAAATTTTGTGGCTGCTAGCAAATGTCCATGAATAACTAGCTTGTGTGGTGCTTTCACTGGGGGCATACCTTGATGTTAGTGTTGTTCAATGTGAAATTGTATATACTTGCATTATGAATTGTTACAGGTGTGAACATGATATAGATTTAATCCACAGTGTTAAATCTAGAATTACAACATACTATTAAAATAAAAGGTTTGGGCAAGGAGTACTGCATTGGGATTTTAGGCCATCTTTTGCTTAACCCACCCCAACTTGAATTCTGGGGCTGCTGCAGGTTAAACTGAGTAAGTTAGAGCAGCTTCAGATTTAGTGATTGGTAATAGTTCCTCAAGGGGTTGCTTTTGTTGGCTACTCTAGACAGAGTGGATTGTTGTCCAGACTCAGTTCATTCACAAGAAGAGATGCTGATGTCACATTGATGATGCAGCCTCTATGCAAGCTCAGGATTCCCAACTGTTAGAGAAATCCTCAGTTGCTCACTGGCAGTATCTTTGAGTCCCCCTTGCGCTATTAAAGCATCACATAGTGGACTCAGTGGCTCAGTATTTGCCTCGTAATACATGTCTGTATTTCCTCTATATTCTTGTTTGTCTACAGTTTCCTATTCCACCTTGCCAAAATGGTAAAGCTTATAGGAAGACCAGTATTTTGTTCAGAGGAAATTCTGTTTTATGAATATGGAAATTCTGGCTGATTGTAAAGTTAACCTCAAACTTTAACTTATATTTAACAATATATCGAGAAAAGAATGGAACAGTTACCGTACCTCTGTGAAAACATTCCGATTGGCCTGCAAGCTAACCTTTACTACTTCAAAAGGGTTAACCACAACTGCTTCTGTTAATCCAGATCCCAAGCCAGCAACTGCAAATGTCTAGAAAGGTTAAATCAGTCAATATTTAAAAATCAAGTTTTCATGAGAGCTGTAGTAAAATACTCCATACATCACAGTACAAAGTGGAATGATATGATGAAAACTGAGAGACCCATGGTAATGCAGCAGTATACCATTACTAAACAGTTTTAGTCCTTGATTAGATGTTGACAGTTCATGAAGAAGAAATTACAAAAGCCACAAACCACATTCTAAAAAATGCAAAATAAAATGTCAAAGTCCCATCAACAACAAATCCTCTCTTTAGCTGGGATAAAACCTGTATTACTGATTTAAGATGCACACATGGAAAAATACTGCTCTTTGGTTATGTATGTGGAGAGTTTGACTTCAGCGCATCATGGGCATCTTTACACATGCCATTCGGTGAAGGTGGGGAGGGGGGGGTCTTTAATTAGAGCAGCTCTGAGAGTCACTTGTTCAACAAACTTTAGTTAAAGCACCCCTGCTACCATTTTGAAGTGCAGGGACACTGAATACATGTGATGCAGAGGCTGCTGGAGCATGCTAATTAGCATGTTTTAGCAGACTTGATTATCTCTGATGTGTGCTGATTAGCATGTGTTGGAGCAGATGTCCAGCACATGTATAGGTACCCAATAATTTTACTTGTGAAGCATAGCTGCAGTTATGAAGCACAATAAAACAACTGTATTGAGCAGTAAAATTTTCTTTAAAAAGGAACTAATTTTGTAAAGAACACTGAAGAACTTTTTCTAGCAAATTGCCCAGTTAAAAAAGGAAAACCCTTTATGGGTAAGTTTCAACTCTGAAAAGGCCCAAATGAGACTTAAATGATGCACAAGACAGGTGCTGGCACTCTTCACAGGTGGGCATTCCATTGGCTAAGAAATTGAGGGTACGACAGCTCTGTGTAAAGACTGCAGAAGCTGGCCTGTGCTTTGTAGTCAAGGAGGAAACATGTTATTAGGAAGATAAACAATGTCTTACTTTGTTCATAATAGATAAGTAAAATATCCAGGCAATTTCCAAATAGTGCATTTTAGATGTCCATTTAAATTCTCACTGCCAGCTCTCTCCTACTTACAAACCTGTCTCAAACCTAGAACAGAATATTGAGTAGTACATTTGCTAAACTAAAAAAGGAGGAAACGAATAGTTGTCTCTCAAAGGAGGCCAGACTGTGACTGGCTCTGAATGACTGTTCAAGAATGGAAAGGGTAGAAGGAGCAGCCATAATCCTAGCCATTGTGTACCTGAACTATGTGACACTGCAAGTGGGACTACACTTCCCATATGGAGTGGGAACATAGCCCTGACCCCTTCAGCATCATCTCTTGGATTCAGGCTACAGGGAATAGGGTGGAAATGCATTCTAACTCTTTCCTGTATCTGACAGAGAATAACTTGCGTTTGGAAGCTTGTCTAACTGTATCCCAACTATACAGTTGATCCAATAAAAGATACCACCCTAAGAAATCTTTGCCTCTTTTCAATGAGACACACTGCCTTGGTATGCGCTGTGCCAGGGTACCCAGAACCACACCTACCCCAACCTGAAAGTACATGGGACATATCTGAAACCTTTTAGATTTAGGTCTTCCTTGCATGGCTATGGCATTAAAGTGAAGTGAAGCTAATAGCAATGTAATACATTAAAAATACAGCAACATTTGTTGTTCAGTACATCTGCTGTGTGAATCAGAGCTGCTCTTTGTGAAGAATGAATATGCTGTGTTTACAGGTTTTCAGCACACTTCCTTTGGAAAAAGGCTGCCATGCACAAAAACCTATAAACCCTGCTCCTTACACTTGCTAGAGAGACAAATGGCAGCCTCTTCCCTGAATATGGGAAACTGCAAATGATTATCGTGTCGCATGAGTACTGAAAGGAAATTTCATGTAAATTGTTTACCATCCTGTGTGAGGGGTGGATTTGGAAGGCAGTAGCATACAGATTGAACCAAGGGTACTGATAAATTCAATATCTCTCTGTTTTATGCCCTGTGCTGACATGATATAGCCTAATGGAGAGTCACTTGTTCTTACAAGACAAGTTGCCACATATTTCTTCAACTCTCACAAACTTATATGTTGGGAGCCAAAACCGTAAAAAGAATTATAATCCAAAACTCATCTGACCAGGAAATCTATAATCCAGATGTTCAGGATTTTATTATTTGTTAAATATACTCTTCCAAATATTTCACATGTTTAACCTGGCATAAAACTCAGATACATGGACTATTATAAACAGGATACAGAAGTCTTGATAAAATGAGAAGTGTTTGATACATGACAAAATGAAAAATCAAAATAAGATAAAAGGAGTAGGGAGGGAGGCAAGGAATTAAACACAGAAATATTGAAATGAGAATTGGTGGTTTTCAAAACTTTTTTTTATTGAAATGGCCTATTTTAAAACCATATTTTTCATTTTTTATAGAAAGAATGCTGGGCCCTTTTCCAGAATTGTATTGAAAATGGTTATTGATTTGCTTTCAAAACAATTTCTAAAAATTCTTATGTCCACTGCAAATGGGTAACTGGCAAACAGAAAATGTCAATAAAAAAATCAATAGCATTTTTTATATTGTTGAGGAAAATATTTACACAAGTCTAAAAAGGTATGTTTCAAACACTGTAAAATTAGAAAAAAATTGAAGTATTGTTTAAGAAAGTTTTTAATTCTTCGATAAGCTTTATCTGAACTGTATTTACTATATTACCTTATCTTGCCATGATATTGCATATTATGCTTTTTCCTCTTCTTTTCATAGATATACCTCCTTTTCTTCTGTCTAGATCATTTGGTGGAATGTTGTTTTGCTACGTAAGTTAGTGGTTTTTGCTATTCCCTGAGTGTGTTTACACCTGCATTAATGTGCCTTTTCTAATGTGCATTAAATTTAGTACTTCCAATGTGAGTACTCCTGCAGTAGTGCATTTGCACTTTTTAAAGTGATGCTTAATGCACAATAGACTATTTTACTGACCATCAGTGGAATGTCAAGGTTTTTTATGTGATGCTTTAATGCATAGTAAAATAGTCTATTGGGCATTAAAGTGCACATGTAGATGTGCCCCTTGAATATTTCAGTTACTATATTTGGAGCAAATTACCACATTTACTTCTTTCTGTGGCATGTGGGTCATCAGAAATTTTGTTTCAATGTGTTTTTACATTAGTATAAAATTACCACATTTTCCCCTGCCAATGAAATATCCGAGTTCAGAGAATATAGGCCTGCTAAGTGTAGGGTATTATCTTAGACCATAATAAAAGAAGAGGTTTGTTATTTAAACCTGATTTTATTGCCAATGTGTTGCATGTTATTTATTTGTTGTTTAGTATTTATATGGTCAGATCTTAAAAAAGAATGTCTCATGGTACCTTATTACACAAACAGTCCCACAAATGAAAGGGACTACATGAAGAATAAATTATCACTAAATATAAAGGTACAGAATCAAACTGTAAATATGGAAATACATAGCTCTTCACAAAAATCCACTGTATCAACATAAACAGTCTTGCTGTGTTAATATACAATACGTGTTACTGTTTGCTTTAACAACAAATTTATGGTTCTGAGATGAAATCCTGTCTACTGAAATCAGTAGGAGATTTGCCATTAGGTTCAGTGGGCTTAGAATTTCACTCCTAATGCTTTATTCTTATGTTGAAAATTAGGGCTGGGCAAAACTTCAGTTGCTGATTTGATTCGGAAGAGATTTGGCCCAATTCAGCAGCTGAATCTCTAAATCCATATTGAATCAGGAGACCTTTTAATCTCTCTGAATTGAATCAGAACCCTTTGAATTGATTCAGAGAGATTCAGAGAGATTCAACCATTCAGCCATAGACCGCTTTAAATGATTTTTCTACATACCTCAAGGTACCAGATGCAGCTTATGAACGCTGAGGTGGTGGGGTGGATGGGGCATCCCATGGGAGTGGGGGGGGAGTCCTCCATATGCTCAGCAGCAGACCTGGAAGTGGACCAGAAATACTCCCTGTCCAGTTCTGGGTCTGCTGTGGAGCATGTGGGGTACCCATCCCACCCCCTGGCTTGGCGACTGGTGCCTCCTGGGCCTGGAGGGGCACCAGGGGTACCCCTGTGGCCAACTGCTGAACTGGAGGGGTGTGGGGGTCCCCCGTGCACTTAGTGGCAGACCCAGAAGTGGACTGGAACTAATTCCAGTCCAGTTCCAGGTCCATCACCAAGCGTGTGGGGGACCCTCCCCCCCCATTGGGACGCTCCATTCACCATGCCATCTCAGCCTGGTTCCTCAAGGTACGTAGATAAAGCATATAATGCTGTGTCGATGGCCAGATCGCTGATTCTCTGAATCAGAATCGAATCTTCACATTCAGCCAAATTGAATTGGGACAGTGATCTGAATCAGCAAATCAAATCACTGTCCCCCAAATTGAGCTGAATCCGAATCCAAATCGAATACTGCCCCCTTTGCAAACCCCTATTGTAAACCCTTAGGGAAAAGAGATCTTTTTTACATGTTTGCTCTGAGCCCTGATGGTGGTTCTAGGAACTAGTGCCATACAAGTACATAATAAGCAAGATCAATATATTTTTAATATTTTCAAGCATGAAAAATAATATCCCCAATATGGCTCTATATTGTTCATTGCAAGAGAGTCGAACAAATGTTATGCAATAACATAGTGAATTATCATTAGGAAGACATTCCAATTTATCTATCATATTATAAGTTGCTCATCATAAATAAAAATCAAAGCAATAAAAGTTTTAAATAAACAAATCTGTCTTGAAGAAGTTTGGATTACTGGGTCCATTTACTCTGTATGCTATCTCGATATTTTTAATGCTGGGGAGAGATACAGACCCATCCAATAACTGCTTAATAAGAAGAACTCTAAGGCATGTATTCATACTTACCAGTCCTGGTGGGAGCATAGCATATCCTAGTAATTTCTTGTACTGTTCGAAGGTGAAAAACTATTAAAAAAAACCCAAACAGTTGTGTTTCAACTTCAATGGTGGACATAAAAATGTATAACAAATTATTTATCTGATTTACGGAAAAAAGGAAATAATGAAGTCCTGATTTTTCAAGAATTCTACACTGTGTAACCATGCTCCTCTGTGAATTATAAACATAAAATACTTCAGTTGCACATAGGAAAAAACTATATAAGCTCTAAGGTAGTGGAAAATCTAGTAATTTAACTTTTTTGCTTTGTAAATGATATAAAAGACTGTGTACTGTTTTACATAAGAGCAGACTTCCAGTACATTGTCTTTATTTTCAGTTTACTAACCTTTCACTGGCATCTCATTTTCAGATGCTGCTACATTAGTTATAGAATAGCTGGTGTAATCTGTTCTAGCAACAAATGAACCATACAATTTTCATTTAGTGCAGCCATTCCCAGTTTTGGTAGGCATTACAGATTCAAAGATTCACAGAAGTTTAGGGCTTGAAGGGTCCTCGTGAGATTATTGCGTCCAGCTCCCCTACTCCAGGCAAGAAAGACTGCTGGGGTCAAATAACCCCAGCAAGGCGTCCAGTCTCCATTTGAAGATCTCCAGGGTAGGTGCCTGCATCTATTTGAAATTTCTCATTTTTAACAGATTTGACATCTATGCACATTTTTGTAGTCTTCCGCTGTAAATTAATATTTTTTTCCCAATTTTTACCACCCTTTAAAAATATTTTCCTCAGTCAATAATTTACTATTGTTTAAGGACCTATGAATAAGTGGCTAAGAAACAGGCCCTGAACAGATTTAAGATGGAAATAAAAAGAAAGTTTCTAATCATCAGGAAAGTGAGAGTCTGGAATTGAGTTCCAAGAAGAATGGTATGGGAAAGAAATCTAACTAATTTTAAACTGCAGCTGGAGATGATGACAGGGTTGCCTGCAACAGCAAGGGACTGAACTCAGTCATCAAAGAGCTACCTTCCGTTCCTACATTAATTATATTCAGCAAGTTTTTTTAAAAGCCCCATATTTCTGTGGTAGGTTTGGAGTAATGTTTTGGTCATGATGGTCCAAGAAATATGCACAAGGTGTGGATTTAACCAGGTCCAAGGAGGGGATCCTCCCCCTCTATGCAGCACTGGTCAGGCTGCAGCTGGAGTACTGCATCCAGTTCTGGGCACCGCACTTCAAGAGGGATGTGGACAACATGGAGAGGGTCCAGAGGAGGGCCACCCGCATGGTCAGGGGGCAGCAGGGCAGGCCCTACGAGAAGAGGCTACAGGACCTGAACCTGTTCAGCCTCCATAAGAGAAGGCTGAGAGGGGATATAGTGGCCTGTTACAAACTAGTCAGAGGGGACCAGCAGGCATTGGGGAAGTCCCTGTTCCCCCGAGCAGTACCAGGAGTGACTAGAAATAACGGTCACAGGCTGGCAGAGGGTAGATTCAGACTAGACATCAGGAGGCGTGACTTCACTGTCAGGGTGGCTAGGATTTGGAACCAACTTCCAAGAGAAGTGGTGCTGCACTTAAAGACCTGGGGGTCTTTAAGACAAGGCTAGATGAACACCTTGCTGGGGTCGTTTGACCCCAGTACTCTTTCCTGCCATGGCAGGGGGTCGGACTCGATGATCTGCTCAGGTCCCTTCCGACCCTACCAACTATGAAACTATGAAATTTTCCAGGCTGATGCTACCAGAAATAACAATGAGAATGGTAAACAGCATCTTCTGCAGTTATAAATAGCTTGCTAGAATGATGAACTAGGAGACTATAGAATCTTAGTGGATAGAGAGGGCAGGAAGAGACAAAATTCCAGGCAGAATCTGGAGTTATTACAAGTAATATGCCATGTAAAGTTACAGGTTTCACACTTTTGAGAAGAAGGGTATATGCAAGGTCTGGGACTATAAATCCTACTAGATATGTTTCCTATAATTTACCTACAGATGTCTGCATCTCAAAAGTAAGCAGCCACCAACCTCTTATCTTCCTGACCACTGACTATAGAGTGCTTTAGTGCTGGAGGTCCCCTGGCTTTCCAATATTCTTAAACAAGAGACTGTAAATGTATTCCCCAGCAAGCTATTCACATGGCTTCCAACTATAAGGCCCACTACTAAGATGCCTCAGACTGTTCTGCAATACTGAAGGAGGCAATGGGAAGCAAGGCCAAATTGCTGCAAGTCTCCCAAGAAGCACTGAGGAATCGAAGTTCTTTATTAAACAGAAGGAAATGGTTAATCTGTGATGCACAAGGGAAGCATCCTAATTCCATAGGACTCCATTTATCACTTTCACAGAGTTCTGTGCATAAAACAGCTTTTGCTGTGCACCACCTACACAAGAGCATGAAAAACAAAACATCACTTTGGCATTTCAGCTTGGTGGGATGGAGACCTTCTTTGCTATAGCAGGCTTGGCAGCATTTTCTGAACCAGACACCCTTTTAGTAGAACAGTACTAAAATCAGAAAATATATATTACAGCTCTGTGTTGCAAAATATAAATTTGAAAGTATGAAATCTCAGTGCTCGATACTCAAGTCACAGGATATAAATAACTTTTTGTCTTTAAAGGGAATTACTCAAGAAAAATTCCCTAAAATGTTCACAAAATGTACAGATTTAAGAACAATTTACTACACATAAAATAAATATGTTTAAGATCACTGGAATAAGCTTGCTGATAATCAAACCAAATAAATGTGTTAAATTAGGTCTAGCAATATAGAGAAGTTAAACAATCATGAAATGCACCCACTTGTAGAGCATGCCATAATTTCCTGAATCGCTTTTACCTTTAGAATAAAATAAAATCTCTGGAAAAGTGTCAGTCATTGCAAGGTCAGTTACTATACTGAATCAAATTAGGTGTTTTTTTTTTGTGGTAAAATTGCTTTCTTCTCTTTCCAACATCTTTCTAGTCAGTGTTATCCTCCTAACCTTTCATGGAATTTATGGTATTCCTTAATGTTTTCCATAGCCTCACAGATCTGTAAAATGGCTGCAATAAAGGAAGAAATATATTACCTAGCAATTTTTTGGTCTTAACATTTTTACCTTAGAGTATCAATGGCTTCCTAGAGTCATAAATAAAAGAACTACTTCACAATAACTTTGTTTCATGTTACACAACTATTTTTAAAGAAAACTAATCAATGCCAATAAAATGCAACATAAAAGTAGCTGTATGTATTAACATGACTAATGTATGAATAAGGTGTATGATACCTGAGAGCATCCAAACTCTCTTTAATAACAACAAATAGTTTGTTTTTTTCACCCTATAATTCTATTAAATTAATAGCCCTCACAAAATCCAAGGATCAGTATATATAAAATATATGCTTTCATATATCTAATAACCAATACTATCCATCTGGCAAAGAAACACTTTAATTCAAGTTAAACAGAAAATAGCCAAAGTACTTACCAGATGTCTCAATAACTTTAGTGTAAAATATGCTTGAAACAAGATGTCTGGGAACATATGTACAATATATATTTACCCCAAAAGTTCATCTGTTAACCATTCTATTGGCACCATTCATTTCTTTTCTCCAAGTCCAAACTAACTCAGGGTTATAAAGTATGACTTTTCATCTTTGAGAAATAAAAGCCTTTTTTTTTTTAAAGAAAAAGAGAGAAAGAAAGAAACACCAATATAGAAAGTCAAAGGAGCTAATATCTTAAAAAGTGTGCTTGTGTTTCCAACACTTAGCACTCAATTAAAATATTGCATCAGAACACCTTTGTTTTGATAGCTTGCTTTTTACATGCAAATAGTTGCATCAAATTAATGCATTATCCCAGGTACATGTTGCTATACTTCTTCTCAGCACAAACTCTGCCTTGTTTATTTATGTTGGTGATCATTTATCAGTACAGTAGTTTCATAATCCAAATCAATCTTTCTGCACACTTTTATAAGACATAAATGGCCCATACAATATGAGCTGTACAAAATGCTCCCCATAAAACAATAAATGATATTGCCACAAATTGAAAATTGCCCTTCCTCAAACTTCCTTGAAGGTGAAAGATAGACAAAAATTAGACTTCCCCTAACTACTGCTTAGTTCTGTTAAACTGGAGTGGGCAGGGCATTCCAAATGAGCAATGGTCTTACAGCTATGCATATTTAAATGTTAAAGTAGCATCCTGGGACTGACAGACATGCAGCTCCCTGCTGTAACAGCAAGTGCCATAAGTTATATTGACCCTCCCACCCTCGACCCAACAGATGTTCACTGTTAGGGGAGAAGCGGTTGCGGGGGGTGGGTGTATAAGATCAAGCTCCACTTTGGAGCTGATCCAGGAGGAGCTGTGCATCTGCAGCCTCTCTCCCTTAGCTACATGCCCCCCATAACTCCAGTGCTGTTGGCAGGATGGAAGGGGGGAAGGGAGGGGATGGAGCTCCCGTCTGGGGTCTGCCTAGCCTCATGGGAGGAGGGGGAGGCTCCAATGGACTCATCAGCCCCTCTCCCCCTCCCCCCCCAGCACAGGCTGGACAAATTTCAGACTTGAGCTCCCTCCTCTCCCTTTCTTTCTTCCCCTCCCATCGTTTAGACAGCACCAGGGGTGGGGATGAACTGCAACAACTCAGCCCCAGTTGGCACAGGGACAAACAGAAGTTAATGAAGGCACTCAGCTTTGGAGCACCTTCATCTGAACCCTCATTTAATTTAATGCATGATTGGGCACTTTTAAAGCACTCTGCAGCCACACACTTCTGTTAAGGCATGGCTATAGAGAACTTTAAAGGGGCTGATCATGCAACAAATATCACTTCTGTCAGTGCCCCCTGTGGTTTTTCTTGATCTCTTGACTAGTTTGTCTCCTTGCAGAAAAACCCCAGAAGAAAAAAAAAGAAAAGAAAAAAAGTTTGATGAATTTTGATTATTTTAGATTTTCTGCTTTAAAACCATATTTTTTTTGCATGGGATGGGGGTGGAGGATGGGAGAAGACTCATGATTGTTGAATGATTGGAATTGGCAATCATATAATCCAGTTCCAGCTGTTCAGAATGTGCCAAGAGAATGACTTCCTCCCATATAAAGAATTAATGTGGAAGGCAAAAAACCAGGAAAAAAATCATTAGGAATACTTCGAAATGTCATCCTTCTATTCTGCACTGCAACTATAGTTTTTTTTCTTATAGCCAGTCATTTTCAGACAGAGAGAGCAGACATCTTATTTGCATTTACAAAATGTAAATAGTTGGTACAGGACAGCAAGAAAGACTTGGATATTTATGAAGGTACAAGCTGGCAGTTGTTCATTTCTGGCAGCACACAGTACTCTTCTTTTGAACCCCTGGCAGTCAAGGTGAAAAAAAAGTATGAAGCCTTGGTATTGGAAAGGAAGCTTATTCCATTGGCAGAAGAAGCCAAGCCATGCACACCAAAGCCTGGGAGGATCATGACTAGTGCCCTCCAGAGGAAGTCAAAAGTGGCTGTAGTTGGTAATTAGGGTTTTAGAATGACATGCATAAGCTGGATGAAATGGTCAGAAATTAATTGACTGAAATTCAATATGGATAAATGCCAAGTCTTGCACTTACGAAGGAACAATCACATGCACAACTACAGACTGGGGAACAACTGGCTAGGATGCAGTACTGCAGAAAAGGACCTGGGAAATACAATGGATTGTAAGCTGAATATGAGGCAACAACAGTAGGCTCTTGTTGCAAAATAAACTAATAGAATACTAAACTGCATTAACAAGATCATTGCATGCAAGTGAAGGCAAATGATTCTTCTTCTCTATTTGTCACTGGTGAGACTTTACGTAGCACGATGTGTACAGTATTGGTCCCCAGAATTCAAGAAAGACCTGGACAATTTGGAAAGAGCCCAGAGCAGAGGAACAATAATTACAGGTTTAGAAAACATGACTTACAAGGATAGGTTGGAAGAACTGAGATTATTTACTTTTGAGAAGAGAAGACTGAGGGGGAATTTGATAACAGTTTTTAACATGAATGACTGGTGCGTCCCAAGACTAGGGGGCACCATGGTAGTGAGTGGGGACCACCCACAGATGCTGGTGTCAGTGTCAGCAGCAGTGGGCAGGGACTGCCTGCAGATGCTGACGGAAGTGTTGGTGGAGCGGGGGTGGTGGTGAGCGGGGACCACCTGCAGATGCCGGCAGTAGTGTGGGCAGCAAGGTGGGGGGGG